TATATATATATATATATATATATATATCTGTGACACAGACACGATCCTTCAAGATCCCCTTTCTCCCTCTTTGACAGCTATGTAGTCTGGATTGCCCTACTTTCTGTTGATTCTACACGTTTCTATACTACAACATCTCCCTTATAACCTAATCTGAGCTAGTCTGTTTGATCTATGACTCCCTAACCTATTATTAAACCAGTTCTACCTTATCTATCCTTCTCTATCATTCACAATGGTCTCTCTCTCTCTCTCTCTCTCTCTCTCTCTCTCTCTCTCTCTCTCTCTCTCTCTCGCGCGCGCGCGCGCGCGCGCGCGTGCGCCCGCGAGCGCGTGGGGGCATGTTTATCTTTTCCACAAGGGCCTAGCTCCCACACAGTTGAGTATTGCTCCTTTGAAGCTCCTCCTTTCGCGATCTTGTATGTTATCCTTTCTCTCCTGTCTTTGTGTTTCAAAGTGTTCCATGGGAAGGCGCTTTCACTGTTCTTTGGTTCATAAGTGTTCGGAAATGTTCAGTTCAGAAGTGTTCGACTTGTTCGTGATATCGCGGTCTTGAATGTTGCCACGTGTCTGTCGTTCTGCTCCGCAACTCCTGTTTGAAAACCCCGTGCAACCTGCCTCCCCTCCTCAGAGGGCCTGCCCACTCCCTTCTCTCAGCCCCAGACAAGCTAGTGTCTCTGTTGCTCTTGCTGTCCTGTGGTACCTTCCCGGTGCTGCAAGTCCCCCCTCCCCGGTGCTGCACGCTCTGGGGCATGGTGGTTAGGCTCCGTGCGGCCTTGCACGCGGCACCGCCGCCGCACGGCTATGGCTAAAGCCTAAGACTGTGCAGCTCGCATCATGGGAGGAGATCACTACGGCGCCAGCGTCCCGCTTCGTGCCCACCGTCGATGTTTCCTTGCGACCGTCTTTTTGGCTGAGGGTCACTACAGAATTCCTTGTAAACTTGGAAATAAAGAATAAAAACAAAATATCAAACCGACATATGCTCCTTGGAAGTCAAAACCCCTTTCAACCCCCTTTGAAACCCATGTATATCCCCCTCCCCGCCCTTTCAAACCCATGTATACTCCCTCTACAAGGCACTCTGCCCATGGAACATTCAAATATAACCCCCGGACGATCTCTTCGAATATAATGCCCGGGCGTTATATTTGAAGGGGCGTTCTATTTGACAAAAAGAGAGTAAAAACGAGAATCTGATTTTTTTAGGGTAAGTTGCATATAACACCCGGGCGTTGTTTTTGGCTGAAGACGGTAGTGGGCCTGTGCTCCTGGTGGTTCAACATGTTTATTTTGGGACCCCTGCAAGCAGAGCTACCTCTGACGGTGAAGGGGATATTATTTCATGTTGCCTCTTGCCCCAGTGGTTTAGGAAATTTAGGGTGCAGGGTTGGGGCCGCCAGTTGGGCTCCAGCTAATGCAAAGAATGAGCATTTTGCCAGCAGCTTCAGCTCCCTTTTCATCGTCCCCCACCCCCCATCAGACCAGCAGTGTTTAAGGCCAACACCCTCCCACACACCACACACAACCCACTCATGCTTACACTCACAACCGTGTTGGCCAAAGACCCTACTAATACCGATCAGAGGTATCAAGTGGAGTATCACAGCTGGTGGGAACTATGTGCACTGCAGGCACTCATGCAGCTCGAACCCACAACCTCCTGAATGCCACTTGCGTGCCAAACCAACTGAGCTAGGCCGTTGGACCGAGCCTCCCTTATTTTTCACAGTCTTTTTGTCTTCCCCCCCCCCCCCCTCTTCCTCCTTTTTTCCTTCTTCTCTTTCAATGTTCAGCTTGAGTCCGGGGAGCATGGTTCCATTCGCTGGTGCCATTTCTGACCATAGACTTTAAAATCCAACTGTCAAAAATGCAGATGGAATTGCATTACAGGACATTGGGCCTTGGGCTCTACTGACCCAAACTGTCCCAGATGTGAGGAATGTGCCCTCACGGGGCCCTAGCCAACATGCACATGATCTGGGCTGTGGCCCCAGCAAGCATCGTGCCCGCCCGAAGTGAAGGCTTCGGGCCGGTGTGAATATCCACAAGAGGCCCTTATCCCAGCATTTTCCAAAGTGGGTATCAGACAGTTGCAGCACACCAGTTGGTTGAAGTGCAATGTGAGCCTCTCCTTGGGATCTTTCCAGAAACAGCAGCTGCATCAAGCAGTTGAGCCCAGGGCAGTTGAGCCCAGGGCCGGGTGGTTGCGCCCTGGGCACACGCAGTGTGAGGCCGACACATCACGAAGTGGCCGCAGGCGAATCAGAATGCAGCATTGTCGTCACAAAGGCTCAGCGAGCCAATGAGAAGACGGCAAACACTGGGAGCCTGGAGGCTGCCTGGACATGCCCAACCAGAAAGGGCCCAGGCCCCCAACTGTAGGACTGGGTCCTGGGGACCGGCTGGAAGCTACTGGGAGCTTCCTCAGCCAGGCCCTTGCAGCCAAACAGAGGCCGCGACTTCCATGTAGGAAAGTCGCTGGCCAGAGGCTGGGAATTCTGGCCTAGGCAGGTAATGCGGACACGCTGCTGCGTTGTTGCGCAAGTGTCTACGTGTGCGCTGCTGGCTGGGGCGCACGCGGGCGCCTTAAGGTGAGAGGGGCGCTGCAGGGCAGCGGGCGCACAGCAGCCATAGCCGGGATGCAGGGGCGCATGCGGGTTATGGGCAAAGGTGGTCTTCAGGTAGGGGGCGCATGAGTGGTTGGTCAAGGTCTGATGACGGGAGGGGAGAGAACGTACCTGGTGTATGTGGGAGGTCAGCATTGGTGTTGACGTCATGTACATCGGTCTTCAACGTTGGAGTGATCCTGTTGCAAGAATTTAGATAGGCTAGATAGGCCCAGTAGAGTAGGCTGGGCGCTGGGCGCCAGACAGAGATAAGCGACACTGGATACTGTGTTGGTGGGGCCTGAGGGCGATAACATCGGCACATGAGTTCACTTCTTTGCTCTTATTTGGATGGAGTCTTGGTGCATTTGAGCTCTCTGCTTGGTACATGGCTATCTGGACATCTGTGTGATTTGCAACTTGGTTTTCTGTCTATCGCTCTCGCTCATATTCCTTGCACAGACATGATTTCCCAGTTATCCCAGTTATTTACTTGTAATATAACCAAGTTTTAATTTTAAGTTTTATAACTTTTATTTGAATCTTTTGAAAATTTTATTTGGACCAGAACATGATTTTTTTTTTTTTTTTTTTTTTTTTTTTTTTAATTTAAGGCAGCAGTGTTGAGATATGTCCATAGGTGACCGGCCCCAGGTAATTCGAGATGATTATGCAAGTTGCTGTACTGTAGATTATATGTCATGATCATGACTTAGGGGCTCGTTCGACACTCCTTGGGCGCGTAAAATCCCCGAGGAATTCATCGTTCCACTTATCCTCGGGGATGAAAACGAAAAAAAAATGTGAAAACATTTCCTCGGGGATTCCTCGGGGATTCCTCGGGCCACAGGCAATTTTCATTTTTCCCCAAGGAACCTCCTGTAGGATCCTCGGGGATCCCCCATGTGGAAGAACGGGGTCTTCCACGACACCTCAATGTACTTCTTTTGTCGACGGTGTGTGGTCCATCGCATGTCCGGGCGACTTGCGCACGGACATGTTGGGTCGCCAACGTTCAAGCGGCCCGATCAGCACGCCAACGGTAACCGTTTGCGGGCCGGTAGCATCCCCAAGGTGCACACCGCAGTGCACCTTGGGGCTGGGCTTCAGCCGAAGCGGGAAACTGCCCAACGGTCGGCAATTGCGAATAATTGAGGCGGCACAGCGCGTCCACAACACGACGGCTTCCGTTTGTCGCCAAGCTCGTATCGCCGTCTGCAGGTACCCTGATGTTATGTTGTCGCCCGTGTTTTCTTCCGTCTAGTGCCGTTGTCGTCGGCCGGCTCATGGCTGACGTCTTTCGCAAGCTGCCGCTGCTGCTTCTCGTCTTCTTCTTGCTGGTGGTCGTCATAGTGTTCCACGTGTGTTTCCTCGGGAACGCGCAGCGGCGTCGACGTAGACGGACTCTGCCGATGAAGCCCAACCGGACGGACACACGACAGGGATCCCCCAGGGGAGGAGGGGAGCAGGTCGGCGAGCCGTTGGAAGTTCTTCTTCGGCTTGTAGGTTGTCGCTGGGGGTCGGCAATTCTGCATTGCCGCTGCATTTGCAACCCCTCCTAGACTCATCTGATGAGGAGGAGAGGGAGGGACGGGGTCGCTCTGTTGCGTTGGGTAGTGGATCTACGCAGGAATAAGCTTGGACGGAGCTGTGCGGTGGGAGTGCCGGCAAGCACGCGCAGTCCTTCACTGAATTGCTGCGGCCGGGTCTCGACGGCGAAGAAGGAGACGGCGGAGTGAACGTCTCTTCCGGTCAGTCTACAGGGAGGTGTGGAAGCCGGACGCGCACAGTGATCGCCAATCCCCATCCTGGCGACGACGGCGGGCAGTTAACCGCTGTGGACAGATCATTGAAATCCACCGGCGCGCAGCAGTGCCAGGGACGATCGACTTCCATCTCCAGGACCGCGCAGGGGCGCCCACGGTTCATGCGGTCACCGTCTCCGGTGTATGTTGCGTCCAACCTGGGACGTCGAGGAGGCATTGTCGCAGAGGGGGGGGGGAACTTGGACGACGTCGGCGACAACGTCGACGGGAGGTTACTGTGGGCGGAGCAACGACGGGAGCTGAGGGAGGGCCGCGAGGAAGCAATCAGGCGGGGAGTGGAGCGTCTGAGGATTGACAGGCCGGCGAAAGAAGTTGAGGAGCCAGATGCGGGGCTTCCGTTCGAAGAAGACGACGACGAAAACGAAGGAGAAGGAGGGGACGGGAACGGGGGTTACGCCTCGCCATCGGAGAACAGCGACGTGGGTGTTAAGGGTGGCAACACGAAGGCGAAGAGCGGAAATGGTCGTGGGCGGCCGAAGAAACCACAAGCCAAGCAGAACGACGGAGACGGCAACGGCAAGGCAAAGGAGAAGCGAAACTTTTGGAGTGTCGAACGTATCATCGCCCTCATACGGGCAAAACACGATCAGGATGCGCACTTGCAGGGTATGGGCCACGTGTACGGCCGGATGAAGGCGAGGGAGTGGAAATGGAATGACGTCGCCAGAAGATTGAAGAATGCCGGTGTTGATAGGAAGGCGGACAAATGCGGGAAGAAGTGGGACAACCTCATGCAGCAATTCAAGAAAGTTCATCATTTTCAATCGCCGTCTGGGGGAATCGATTTCTTTCAGTTAAGCGCGAAGGAGAGGGTGAGCAAGGGCTTCAATTTCAACATGGATCGCGCTGTTTACGACAAGATTGAAGTGTCGACCGGTTTCAACGAAACCATCAACCCGAAAAACGTTGCAGACACTGGTGCCTCTCGCGGTGTGCATTTGCCGTCGGCGTCGAATGCTGATCCTGAAGCAGTTGGTGATGCCGACGCCGGTGCGGGGGGGGACGATGAGGAGGAGCGATCGACTCGTGGTTCTTCACAGACTGCGGGCAGCCCTGGTGCGTTTGGAAAGAGGAAGAGCACGCGGCAGCAGACGTTCAAGGCAATGACCGATTGCATGGAGAAGCACGGTCCGTTGATGGCGGTCACTATGGAGAGTGCCAGCAAGCGGCAATGCAGCATTCAGCTACGACAATGTGAGGCATTAAAAGCTGAAGTGCAGGTGCAGAAAACGCACTACGCCGCGTCCGATGTAGTCAGCAAACTCATGTGCCATGCGTTGTTGGAAATAGCAAAGGCTATTCGCGAGCGATAGAGTTTGTAGGCATTTTTTTCTGTAGCAGTGGAGCCGTGGAATGTAGTGGTCGGTTGACAGTAGGTGGCTTCCCATTGTCGTCGGCTTCGTTAGCAAGGTGTCGTTGTCGTTTCGTGTATGTTTCTAGTGTTGTTTCAGTGGCACATCGGTCGCCC